TGCTTATTGGCCATTTGCTTATCTTCTGTGGAGAAACGTCTATTCAAGTCCTTTGCCCATTTTTGAATTGTGCTGTCTCTTTGTTGCTGGACGATAATAGGTTTATATTTAATTTGTGTCCAGGAAGGGACGTATAAGTGCTCTCTCTGCTGCCACTGCTCTGACTTTTGAGTCATCTGGAACGGCTGGAGCACTCCACCTGTCCACACGCTAAGTGGCATCCCAACCAAGGCCATCTGCCATTTGCAGCAACTGTCTATGCTCAGAAGCTATATCTGCACATAAATACCTTATAATTTCCTTCCCAAAATTTAAAAGATTTTCAACGGTCTTAATGCAACGTAAGATGAACCATGGCTTGATATATTGGTTTCTATATTCTGACACCCAAAGCCCAACTATAAAATATTTGCCTATATTTGAGAAGGTAGAATTTACCTTTGAGAATACCTAAATAGAAGTCAGAAGGAAGAGAATAATCATCTCTCAGACGTAAGAAAGTACTCCAAGAGATTTTCTAAACAATTATCATAAAATGAGGAGCCCTGGGCACCTGTCTTTATTTTGAATAGCTCTGCCAGCAGTGGGGTTAAGGTGTAGCTCAATCTAGACTCTCACGAGGTCCCTGGTACTCAGTTCATGGGAACTTGGGGTGACCGTGAAAGAGGGAGACAAGTGGACACCTCCCGCCCTTGACTGCATCAAAGGTAAGCTAGTCATTGTTACTCTGCTCTCTCAATTAGCGTCTATTTCAATGAAACTTAAGTGAAATAGCTGAGTTTTAAGGGATGTTTACAACGCATCAGACACCTTGAGATGGCGTCTGGTCAAAGCTGGATGTTCACATTAAATTTGTAAATAGGAGAAGGGCCAATAATAAAACCCATTTTTAGCAGGAAAAAGAAAGATTGTTCCAACTACATGTCAAGAAATTATACCAGGAAGTTAGGAAGAGGAAGAAAACTGGTGTCATCTGTACAGAGAGACAAGAGAATTAAAGGGAAAGGGTTAATGAAACCAAGAGGGGTGACAAACCTCGGGGCCCAGGTGGGAGGGTGTGCCCCCGACACTCAGCCACGCTGAGAGCCCCACAGAGATGGGACAAGGCCAGTCACGGTGGGAGATGCCACGGGGGCTCTGAGAACAACAGGTCTGACAGACAAGAGAGGACAGGAAAGGCCTGAACCACAATTCGTAACCTCAACGTAATAAACATACAGAATTCGCCAAACAGAGAACGCACGTCCTTTCCAAATAAACACAGAACTTTTAAAAATTGACCACATAAGAGGTCGCAATGGAAGTCTCAACAAGTTTTTTAAAACTGTCATCTTTGCCGATCAGAATGTGAGAAATAAATGTGAGAAATAGATAAAATGCTGTTCTTAAAAAGAACAGTCAGTCTTATCTACAAAACAGAAACAGACTCACAGACATAGAGAACAGACTGGTGGTTGCCAAGGGGGTGGGGGTGGGGGTGGGGGATTGATGGAGTGGGAGCTTGGGGTTAGCAGAAGCAAACTATTATATATAGGATGGATAAACAAGGTCCTAACCCTATATAGGGTTACAGTTCCCTGTATAGCACAGGGAACTATATTCAGTATCCTGTGATAAACCATAATGGTAAAGAATATGAAAAAGAATGCGTGTATGTATAATATACGTGTGTGTGTGTGTGTGTGTGTGTGTGTGTGTGTGTGTGTATGTACAACTGAGTCACTTGGCTCTACAGCAGAAATTAACTCAACATTGTAAATCAACTATATTTCAATAAAATAAATTTAAAATAAAAAGGACAGAATTCCTACTGCACAGGAAAGGGAGAAGTGACAGTACAGCTGCACCTGATAACTGGGGCTGGTGCGCAAGGACAAGTGGGTGCGGGGCGGCCCCCACCCCAACTTCAGGTGGAGGAGGGAAGACAAAGCAGGGGGGCAGCGCCACCGTCCTGCCCAATGACTGTGATGGTGACAGGACAGAGGAGAGGGAAGCACAGGGTGAGAGACTGCCCCGCAGCCCCAGAGCCTGGCTAGGGTTCAAGGTCACGACCCCAGAATGTCACCTCACAACAACTGCATCACCAGTGACCCTGGATTGGGGCTGGACCGGGGAAAATGGTGTAGCGGATGTTATTGGGACAAGAGGCAAAATTTGAATTAGATAAAGAGTATTACACCAATGCTAAGTGTCCTGATTTTGGCCATTGTATTCTGGTTATGTAAGATAATGTAATATTCTTTAAAATCACAGACTGAAGTGTTTGGGTATCAAGGCGCATGGTGCCCACAGTTTACCATCAAATGGTTTCGACTGCGAGAGACAGAACAAATAGGGCAAGATGTGAACAACTGGGAGTTCTGAGTAAACCTGGGTGGGCACACAAGGAGCTCTTAGCACTCATCTTGGAATTTTCCTGCAAGTTTAAAATTATATAAAAGTTTTTAATTACCATAAATAAATACAACGAATCATCTAAATCCAGGGTTGTACAGGCACCTGTCTGGCCCAATCTCTTCAAAGTCTCAGTGCCGTAACAGAAACTGTGGGGTAGGGAGGACTGCTATACCTCAGAGACAGAAAAACGTCACTGAATGCAACACAGAAGCATGGCTGGGTGCTGGTTTGGAAAAAAGCGCAGCCGTAAAAGTCACCTTTAGAACATCTGGGGGACATGGGAATACGGACTGGATAGTAGGTGGTATAAGAGAATGACTATCGACCTTGTGAGGTGTGAAAACGGCACTGGCGTCACGTGGGAGACGCAAGCGTAAATATTTAGAGGTGAAGGGTCATGACATCTGTCATTGTCTTTGAAATTGTGCTGTGCGCGTGCACGTGTGTGTTAAACGTGGTAAATGTTGACGGCTCAGACTAGGTGAGGGGAGGGCAGGTGTTCAGTGAACTCTGTGCTCATTAGAGAAATAAAACAAAGGGAACCACCTGCTTGCAGACTCGTTTACCTTCTCAACTTCTCCACCTGATGCCTCCTGGGCACTGAAAACCTAGCCCGACGGACACAGAACGTGGATTCCGCCCCACCCCATCCTGCTTCTCCACACGTCTTCCCATCTCAGGAAACAGCAGCACCCGCCCAGCTGCTCCAGCCAGACGCCCCAGCGTGGTCCCCAATTCCTCTGCCCAGCAGCCCTACATCCAGCACCGCGGGCCCTGGCCAGTCTCAGCAGAGCGGCTGCCGCCTCTGACCAGGGTCTGTGTCTCCACTCCTGCCCACCCCGAACCTCTCCTCCTGGAGTCCAGCCATTTTTGCAGGATGTCAACCAGACCCCACACCGGGATGGAGGTGGTCCATTCACCCTCGACCTGTTAGCCGTTTCCCTCTAGCCCACGGGGTCTCTGTCTTATTCAAGGTGCCCCCAGTGTCTGGGGAAGAAGCCTGGTTAGTGTCGGAACAGACCTGTGGGATGAGATGTGTACTGAAATAATTGAGGAAAATCACTGAAGACTTGTCGTGTATCACATCTTTCAAAATGTTCATGCGAGTAAGAGGGGGAACGTCACTAAGGAAACAGGAAGGACACACGGGTTGAACCACCTACATTCGAATCCCCCCCAAACTGCTACTGACGTCACTTCGGCCTGTTTCTTGATGGGTCTTGTAATCCGACCCAGAAACAATCTACAAATTCAATGTAACTAAATTTCAGAAATATTCAGGAAGCCTAATATACATAAAAATTAATGTCCGTAAGTTTTTAACCTATTTAATCTTTGAGTATAGATAGCGACAGTTAAGTTTTTTTATTGTTGTAAACACCCTCATCATATTCGAATGAATCATATAAATGATAGTTTACCACTATTAGGTACACATAGCCAACCATTAAATCATGTTTTAAATATAAAAGCTTTATTTTATTACAGTAAACCAAGTCCATCGCTAAAAAATAATGTTAGAGTAACCACGTTATAAACAACCATAAATGATCCAATCGGCACAAAGTTGACGCAGGTATTGCTTTAAAAGGCAGTTAAATATACAATGAAAATAAGGAACTTGATGAAATTACGAAACACACAAGATGGAAATGCACGTGGGCACAGAAAAGGGAAACAGAGAGGACAAACTTAGCACTCAGCCCTAGGGGCCTCATTCCAGGCAGCCTGGGGCGCTCGGCTGGCCGCTCCCCCAGGATCTAGATACGGAAGGCTCTTTTTCAAAAGGTTCCACGTTTATAGTGCCAACCTCAGCTCGGTTCTCTAATCAGACCCGTGCTGCCGTCAACGGCAGCGACTACACGACAGCCGGGACCAGCAGCAAAACCAGGCCGCTCTCCACTAAGGCCTCATCCCACGCGCCCTGATCCCCAGAGAAATGAGGCCGGTACCTGGACCCAAGGTTCCCCCAAGGCAGAGCACAGAAGCCAATGCAGGGAATGTTCTCTCATCTGAACCCCCAAGGAGGGGGCAGGTGAGACCCTCACTCACATCCAGCATCCGCTCCCACCGGGAGCCCAGCTGGCTTGCAGGGAATCAATGGCTCCTGGGCCCAGACAGACAGGGTCAAGGTCGAGATGGCCGTCCTAAGGAGCTGAGATGCTCGAGCCCCCGAGCCCCCCCACACCGATCCCCCGGACGCAGCATTTCTCTTCTCTGCCTTCTGAACGTGTTTGAAATCCAGGTTATTTATTTGACATTTAATTGCCTCTTTTTCTTCCTATTTGTGCTTTATCCCTTTCACAACATCTTCTGAGGGGGGAAAAAAAAATCATATCCTACAGGCAGGTCTCTGAAACCCCTTTAAGCCCCCAACAATCCACTGCACAGAGCAGGTGCCTAACTGCCAGCTGACCACCAATCCAGGCTGTGGTTAGTACCTTGGTAAGTGATGAGCAGGGCATTATTCACACTGGACTCAGCATCTGACATTTGGTTCCAGGAAACAAAGGACAGTTTGGGACATCTTAGAGGAAAAAGGATAAATAACAACACTTGATACATTTAGAGGATTCTGAAAATCTCCTGGCCTAGATACTAACCTTTTTAAGAGAATCTCCATGTCTTTCCTGAATATATTTCAGGAACGCTGTGGTCCACTGCAGAGTCGTTGCCTTATCGGTCTCGGCGTTGCAGAACGGGACTAAAAGATTCAACTCATCACAACAAATGCGGATTCTGCGCCTACAGTCAAAACCCAAAGTAATCACATAGAGAAGCTGAAGCAGAACAAAGGAATAAAGCAGGTGTCTGTGTGTCTTGAGGAATCAGCTTGCGGCCTGGCCACTGAGAGCGTAGGAAAGGCAGGCCCTCACCTCGGGGCTCCCCTCTACAGCGGCCAGCCCACCCTCAGCTGCCCACTAAGCCCAGTCGCGCTCCCTGGAAAGTTTCCCGTTTAATTCTCCTGGGCCAGGAGCAAGGACCAGGTCCAAGTCTCTAGACCAAGGATGGACCCAAACCCCCTGAAACTGGAAGCAAAATTGTGTGTGTGTTTCTTCTGGGCAGGACATTCTTTCACTCACCTGCCTGCCAGGTGCCAAGGAAGTCAGAGAAGCTAGGATTCACAGCTTTGATTCTCCAAGGGGCCCCGGTTCATAAAGGACCACAGACTACCAGCCTGTTAATATCCCCAAACCCGGTCTCTTTAGGGATGATTTACATCACAACTGGAGTCTTAGACCATTTTTAACTCTTACGTATTACATTCAGATAATACGGCCCTTGTTTCTATTTCCCCACCTGTACACTCAGAACTTTAGAGCAACTTTGTAAGGTAACAACAACAGCTGGAATTCACTAGATGCTCTGCAACTGCAGGCACTGGGCCAGACACTACATTTCAGCTCGTTTAATTCTTGTGTCCCATCTATGCAGTAGGTGATATCCCTATTTTATAGACGAGAGACTCAGGTGGAGAGGTAAAGAATGTGTAGGAAGTTGTTAAACTAGGAAATGGCCGAGTAAGAATGAAAACTTTTACCGTCAACACATAGTACATATAAGGCTTTTTTTCAGATGGTAGGTATTCAGTAAATGTTTATTAAATAAATATAAACAATGCCCATTATAATTCACGGTGAGCTCAGTGATGCCCATAGCTTGGCGTGTATGTGCGGACACATCCTTAGGAAAGGTATCTAGCTGCCTAACTTTAATATATCCCTTTAAATAAATAAATTTCCACTGCTCAACACTGTAGGTTCAGAGATGAATATCTGTCTTGCTCAATGCTCTATTTCCCGAGCCTAAAACAGAAACTGGTACAAAGTACTCAACAAATGACTGAGTTAGGGAATCACCCCATACCCACAGCTATAACAGAAAAATTAACCACCTTTTCCTTCTACACAGAACAGCACAAATGAAATCCACAGATGAAACAACTTACATAAGCTGCAACTTCCTCCGTCTTCAATATCCTTAAAAGAACCAAGCAAAACTGAGTAACCCAGCGTGCAGGCAGACTCCCTCCCAGGAAGGCTGCCCCGGCCAGCACCTGGGAACTTAGATTTCGGGGGGGCGGTTCCCACCACCATTGGTCACTGGCTTATGCTAAACACCAGCTTTCCTTCTGGGCGTCTGGGACTTGGCCGCGTGCCAGGTAGGGAATATTTCCGCCCCCCTCCCCACGACCAGCCCCCAGTAGGATCCAGGGCCCCGAGACTCTAAGGAGCTTTGCTGTCCAGGAACATGTCACCAGTGCTGGGGGGTGACAGGCAACCTGAGTGGCTCCACTGAGAGGTGTTCTGGGGAGCTGGCGCCTGGGGCCCCTAGACCTCTCCCCACGCGCCTCTGCTGACTTTGCTGGGTTCTTTGTCCAAAATACATCAAAGCCATGAGTCCTCCTAATGAATCATCAAACCTGGGGGTGGTCTTGGGTACCCCCATCCACCTAGCAAAGCAAGGTGACCACTGACTCTTGCCAGCTTTCCCTGCCTCGAACACAGAAATGGCTACACCATTGTTTTCTACAAAAAGGTGCCTGTTACCACCACCGACTGTCGTCAGCTTGGCGTCTAAGACAACTGTATGCCACCGACTCCACGCATTACCTTCTATCTCTTTCCATGCGGTTGTGCCTCTCCCTGCGCTGGGACCGGCCCCGCTGGGGCCCGCTCTGGGTCTGCTCCCCGAAGGTGGCCTGGGACGACTCCACCGACTGCCAAGCACCCTGCGCTGCTGTGGAGCCTTCACCCACATTCTGGAGCTCTCCAAGGGCTCTTCGTTCTATGTTTGTGTCCAACTGACGTATCCTACTCCGATTCCTCTTATTTATTGCTTGTTTACATAGCGCTTCTCCTTTGCAAAAGAAGGAAAAAGTGGTATTTTAATTTTTCTGTTCTTCTAAACTTACCCTCGTGAATGCCAAATATATTTTTTGGTATTTTCGATCCAAGATATAAACATGAATGGGTAAGGAGCACACAGAACCAAACAGGAAGGGCTCCAAAATTCCACAGAAACAGCTGGCGCAAGGCTCTAGGTTTCAAACTATAAAACTGAACATAAACTGAATTAAAACACTCCAGGTATTATGTAATCAATACAGCTTACACAGCAATACAGTCAAAAGTCCCCCTTTTAAATCAACAGGCGTTTTAACTGTCATCTATGAATAAAAAAACCGAGAAGTTGTTTGATTTTTCTGATATTCAGAATGGGGAAAAAAAAAAACAAAAACCTAGAAATATTTTCTCCAAAAGATTTTCTTGATACGCAGTTATCCTAATATGACAACTGATATTCTAACTGCAATGCTCAGAAGAGGACAAAACCTAAGTGGTTTAGGATTAAACATGCCCTCACCTTACAAGTGAGATTCCCCCCCACAAAAGGAGTAATCACATCATAGCTTTGACCTGTGCTACAGAAATGTCAAATTTCTATCAAAGTACAGCAGGCGTCTAATTAGTACCTGCGGTGATATGCATTCCCGAGGTACCGTACAAAGCCAAACCCTCTACAGTGAAAGAATCACTTGACACAAATTTCCGAATGGTGATCACTTTTCAAAAGACATAGAGAGGAATTCACAAGTATTGGTAATACTTTGGTTCTTCAGCTGAATAGTCAGTACAGGGACTATTTTAATACTGACCTTTATACCTTACAAATGTTAACATATACCTCCGTGAGCAATGCCCTAAGAACAATGGAAAATTAACCACTGGCGTGGGAGAAAGAAGGAGAGCTCCAGCCCTACCCTGTCTTTATCAGCTCTTGAAAAGCGGAGTGTAAGCTGTGTTATCGTTGGATAACTCGAAAAAGAATGTTTTCCAGGAAAAACGGATTGAGGGTTAACGTCAGGGGTAAGCAAAGTTTGCCTTCAGAAGTTTCTCTATTTCTAAAACATTCTGTATCACCTTATGGCCTCTTGCTCCCAACTCAATCCTTTGCCCATCTGCAGATCGTCCCCTAAAGCTCTGAGCGGATTTCAGACTCACTCAAGAAGTACGAAATAAGAGAAGAAAAAAAACCCCTAAAAGTGCTGTCAGTAACTTGAAGGTAACGAAAATGTACCTAAGTCTATCATTTTTCTGTTTAAGGAGGTTACTGTTAAGAAAAAGCAGCCCCTAAACTCAACATTTCCAGGCCAAGTATAATCGTGATGTTCAAAATTCGCAAGGATGTTCAAAGTGAGGTGACTGGGCAGAGGGACGGAAGGATCCCTAAGATGCAAGCAGGCTTCCGAGATCGTTTCATTGGTTTATAAACCACCTCTCTCCCCTCTCCCACCCATGGCCAAAAAAAAAAAAAAAAAAAAAAAAAAAAGGGGAGGCAAAGACATGAGGCAGGAGGAGAAAGCACCCGCCAGCCTCTGTTTTATCGCTTACCTTCAACTTTGATCCAAACCTGCTCAGGCAAAGCTTTGTTTCTACTACCCAAAGTCTGTTTAGTGGATTCAATTTCTTGCTGATAACAGAAAGAAAATGCTCTTGGCAACCCAACATCCTGATGCTTGGTAGCTTCAAGTACAGAACATGAGTTACTAGAACTCTGGAAAAAAAGGAAGCAACAGGAACTTTATCAACAGGTGACAATCTCCTCTCTACGTACAAATAAAATGCACTTTAATAGAAGTAACGTCAAAGGTATTCACGTGAACTTGAAGAACTTCAGGTGCACTAAGAATTTTTAAATATCCCCGAACCACATAAATACTCTCGATTTTAAAAAGTTATTGAGCTCAATGAAAGAAAAAAAAAAGTCCTTGGGACGTAACTAAAATACAATCTATCCATTTAATACAAAAGAGCAAAGCTTCGCAAATCATATTCCCTACCTGTGTTTGTGAAAGATTAGAATTTCCACTAGTAGAGCAACTATTTGCAGTAAACAGAGGGTATGTAAATTGCAGAGCAGTAGTTGCAGCAGCAGTTTTATTTTTCACTAATGTTGTACATTTGTTTTGTTGCTGATGAAGAGGAACATTCATTAATTCGGACGGATGGCGAATAAGAGTTACCAAACTGCCAAGACAAAAGAAACCCAGAAACACATGAAGCGTATGTGGCAGGTAAGTTTCCTGAAACACCACAATCACTAACTATCACACTCTAATGGCTAACATCTGATTTTCTAGATAGGAACTTGAACCTGTTACCATGAATGCCCCCCATCATGGAAATCTCTACAAACAATTATCAGCTAGTGTTGTAGGGGACAAGTTCAAACTTTCTTCCTCACATTGGAAGGTGTGCCTGTGTGTCATCTTTTAGTTACACCTCCTTTCCCATCACACTTCTGACACCAATCTCTGTTTTTTTGGCCATCCTCCAAAATCTGATGACTATGGGCAAAATGGGGAAAACTACAGGGTGGGGACAGACAGGAAGCTGAGGAGACACCCTAGCAGACAGGCTACTCCTCTCAGATAGCTGTTGCTGCAAGATCACTTATGGGCTGGCAGTCTGGCTGAAGGATGAAGCTGCATTTTACACTCAAAACCTCACAACATGACATCTTTCCTCCCAGGGGATGCATCTGTGCAAGATGAGGTCAGTCTCAACCTGAGTCAACAGAGGGGCAAGCAGAGGTCTCTCCTGACATTTAGGTGAGTGATTTGGGGACAAAACCTTTGTTCCTCAGGAACATGTGTTCACTTAACTCATCTCTCTTCCACATGCAGACGCAGAGTGCACACCGCAAAGGTAATGCTGCAGGCTGTGTACTTAATATCTGCTTGCTGTGCTTGCACAGAGCACACAAACTTTCAGCTCAGCCTCCATACCCACTGAGGTCTGCTCCCTGTTAAGATGCAAGCTGCAGTGAGGCCGCTGGCCTCTGCAGAGAACCCTGGTCTACATCCAGACCGAGGCTGGTGCTTCTCTGCAGAGGACCCTGGTCTACACCCGGACCCAGGCTAGTGCCTCCCTGCAGAGGACCCTGGTTACACCCGGATCCACGCTGGTGGCCTCTGCAGAGGACCCTGGTCTATACCCGGACCCAGCCTGGGGCTTCTCTGCACAGAACCCTGGTTTACACCCGGACCCAGGCTGGTGCCTCTCTGCAGAGGACCCTAGCTACACCCGGCCCGCTCCCTGGGGAATGCACCCACTTGTTGAGCGCCATGCCGGGCTCGGGGGGATCCGCGCCGCGCGGGGCTGGCGGGGGCTCGGCTGGGATGCTGTTGAAGCGGTCCTCCAGGCGGACGCGCACGGCCGACTTGGCCCGCGCCTCGGACGCGC